ACAAAAAAATAATAAAAACATATACAATCTACAATTACTTCAAATAAAATGAACAAAAACACGCATGCAAAATAAAAAATATATCAAATTAACTATAAGAAACTACAAAACATGCAAAATAAAAAATTAATTTGAATAAAATGAACTTAATGAATTCTACTAGATAGAGCATGCAAGATAAAGAACTATTTCAACTACTGGGTCATCTTTGTCTTCTCCAACGTCGATCTGAAACAGATACGGTGGCAAACAAATTAATAAAGAGCAATTAAAATTAATTATATCAAGTATTCTCACCTTAATTAATTGTAGAATGTTCCAAATTCCAAAGCTTACAGGTGTGAAAAGTAAACCAACTCCAGGAGGAATACTGTAGCAGAGAATTTGTTATTTCAGTGGAATTCAACCAAATATCCAGTTGCTCTCACTAATGGTTTGAAAATTAACTGCATGATGTTGCAAAGCAGAGATGATAACAGCAAATGAAGAATACAGTTCATGAAGGACCACACCCATGTAGACATTGGTTGTTTCAGTACCACCCAAATCAACTTAAATTCTGTCATTTGTTGGGAAATCTGCACAAACGGACAAAAACTATATTAATTACACTATTAATTAAGAAAGGGATTAAACACACTTGAATAACACACACCAAAAAGCAAGTAAAACAGCCGAATTATAAAATGGAGATAACTGTCATTTTACATCATGATAGACGTGAAACAATCATAGATGAACGATCACAGACAAATGCATGGTAACGTCAATTTATGATGTCAATCATAGATAACTGTTAAAAGAAGTATCATAGATGTCAATTTATCCTATGGGTGCCATATGTTGTTAAAATATATAACAACAGATTAATAAAGATCAATTAATATTATGTCATGTACTCTCACCTTAAATAACTACAAAACGTAGCATTCTAGAGTCTACCAATGCGATGAGCAGACCAAATTCAGGAAGGATACCACTGCAGACAATTTGTTAAAGTGACTTCAATACTATATCCCAGTTGCCTCCCCTTCCTTCACTCGGCTAAAATTAAACATTAACTGCACAATGTTGCAAGGTGAAGACCTCAAAAGCATTGGTTGTTAAGGAGCATGGATATTAACTGCAATTCCCTCATTTGTTGGATATTCTATAGAGACGGACAAGAAAAAGTAATTAATTACCACTTTTAAAGCAAATAAATCAATCACATTCACACTGACGGAAAGATCAATTCCACTTTAATTTTATTGTTCTGCATTTGCCATTTCTGAAAAGTTCTTTAAAAGTTATCGATTGAAGTAACCCTCAATTGTTTTAAGAAATCGATGTTTCTTGCACCTCATTCAGTACTTTTAATTGATACTGTTACTTACCAGCTCCTTAAACAGCAGCATACGCCTCCATTCCCAATGGGAAAAAGGCACCTTCAAGCTTTAGGACCGTAGGTACATCTACTTTCTGGAGCGAATGAACACTGATACAACCAATGCTCCTAAATTTAATGGCATTAGGAGTTTTCTAATGTTGCTGTGGAGAATTATTCAAATATAATTAATTTAGCCTCCCTAATAAATAACGTACACTATATATGGTTAAAATAACGCTTTCTATCAATGTTAAATAAATAATACAGCATGTATGCCCACCTTAATGAACTGAAATATTCTTCAAGATGAAAAACTAACAGGTTGAACACCACAGCAGACAGCTTTATTTTTCAGTAACTTAAAAATTAACACTTTTCCACTCTTCATTTCTTGATCTTATCGCCAATCTGTAAAAATATAGAAGAAAAACGAATAAATTCCACTATTCAAGAATAAAAACATGAAATATAGTGAACATACGCACCGAAAAGCAAGTGCGATTGCAATTTTTTAAAAATGGCGACGTAACATCGTTTTTAATACAAGATGGCAAGATGAACAAGGGCATAAATTTCATAGATACGTGAATAACTACCTCAATTTATACCAGACATATAGATAACTTGGAATGAAAAACTATAGAGCATAAACAAAAAGAAAGCACAGATGGAAAAACAAATCACCAAGTCAACTCTAATTAATTTACGTTCAAATTAAACGTCAACTATGGTGTAACTTAAATTTTAAAATAAAATTTATGGTCTTAATATAAGAAGTCTTCTTCATTTCCTCATACAATTCTCAATCGATGTTCTCTTTGAATTTTTGTTTGTTCTCTATGAATTCTCACGACGGAATAAACAGATGTAGTGGCGCTATAAACGCCAATTGGGTCTTTTACGAAAAAATTTAGATAAGACTGAAGTTTTACAATTTTAACGAAAACGGATAGTTAAGACAACTATAATAAAAAAAGGAAGCGACATATATTTGCTACCAAATGCACAATGTTCCAGGAAGTCTTCTGTTGCGAAAATCAGCAACAACTTAATAATATGCAGTTAATATTAATTCTACTAGGTTCTCACCTTTATTAGCTGCAGAGAACGTTCCAACTTGCAAAAAGCAAATCAAATTCAGAAAGGAATAAATGTACACTTTGGTTATGGTCATTGCTAGGGTCAAAATTAACTCCTAATTCTCTCTCATTTGTTGGCCAATCTGTAGAAATGAAAAACTATTTAGCTAACTTTTTTAAACAAGTAAAATAGTAACATTTTAAAATGACAATGTACTGGTGAAGTTAGAGACAAATAATGAATATGCTTGTCAATGATTTAGTACCATTCATTAATAAGCAAAATAAACATATTTTATATCAAAAATGTGAAGATTTAATATTCCTTTTCCTTTAACTTTTTGTTCTCATATTGAAGTTAATATATACACAATGTTTTTATCACTTATTATTTATAAAATTTATAATAAATGCTCTATTGCTTGTATTATCCTAATTTTTACACTGCTGGTAAGGACAAACTTCTATATTAATTATGGCAATATAATCTCACCTTAATTAACTTCAAAAAGTTGCATTCTAGAATCTACAAGGGTGATGAGCAAACTAACTCCAGGAGCACTACCACTGCAGGTAATTTGTTGTTTCGGCGACTTCAAAATTGATTTCCAGTAGCATTGGTGGTTTCAAAAGCATTAAAATTAACTGCAACTCCCTCAGTTGTTGGATATTCTATAGAAACGAGTAAGAATATGTAATTAATTACTAGTTTTAAAGCAAGTAAAACGGAAATAATTTAAAGTAGAGATGTGGTGATAAAGTTAGAAACAACCTGCAGGTAAAATAACAGATGGGTACACAATCTACCATTAGGGAATGGAGGCGTATGCTGCTGTTTAAGGAAGGATTTATGACAATGAGCTGGTAAGTAACAGTATCAATTAAAAGTAGTGAATGAGGTGCAAGAAACATCGAGGCGGAATAAAGAATATTTAAAGACTCCATACGCAGAAAAAGAATTAGATGTACTTAACTTATTTTGCAGTTGGTTAGGATTTTTCTTCAGAAATGTCAAAATCAAAATAAAGTATAACTACATTTTTTTACAGGATACATCAATGTTGCATTTGTTTTAATTTATTTTTATAAACCGTAATAGAAACCGCGCGTGCATTTCGACTTTATAACTTATTTAACGAGAAAGGCTGAATTATTCTCTTCTAATAGTGAATCCATTTAGCATTTTATTAAATGTTAAATATTTGAATATGTCAGATGGTTATTTTGTTTAAGTGTGCTCCACAGTATGTTATTTTCCTTTTGATCTGTGTAAGCTCATGGAACGCACCATATTTATCCATAACATAAATTGGGATTGTCCTGCATCTATGATTATTTATTTATCCAACTTAATTTTTTTAAAGTGACGACTTGTTGCTATTGTGATATTTTAGTTAATTTTTGGTGTGTTACTTGCTTTACAATGCATATTTTTATACTATTTCATATTTTATTTGTTTAATAGCATGTTAATTCATAATTCTTGTCGATTTCTTGTGGATTGAGCGATAGACAGGAAGAAGAATTTCCGTTTATCGCCAGGTGAGCCTAATGGAACGTACCCTGTTTGTCATTAGCATAAATTAACATCATGCATCTATGGTTATTTCTTTTGACCACAGCTTTCCCTTATCTATGCTATTAAAATAAGGTATATAGTCTATGGTTCTAGTTTTTTCTTATCTATGCTTTTGAAGTAAAGTGTAAAATCTATGCGTTTGCTATATCTATGTTTTTGATAACTTATTGTCTTAAAAGTGATTCATCGTCTCCATTTTAACATTGTTCTCAATTTTTTGTAATTTACGCTAAATGAAAGCAATGAAGTCGAAAGATATCGTTTTTCCTGAAGTTGTTTTCTTCATCATATAACATTATACTGTTAATATTCAACTGATGAATGAGCACTTGAAAATTTATTAATTTATACTCGCATTGAATCAACAAAGTGTTGCCAAAGGAAGGGTTTATGGTAATAAACTGGTAAGTAACAAAATCAATTCAAAGTAGTAAATGGAGTCCCAGAAACTTCAGTTATAGTAGTAATTAATTACATTTTGTTGCCCCGTTTCTATAGAATATCCAACAACTGAGGGAGTTGCAGTTAATTTTAATGCTTTTGAAACCACCAATGCTACTGGAAATCAATTTTGAAGTCGCTGAAACAATAAATTATCTGCAGTGGTATTGCTCCTGGAGTTAGTTTGCTCATTACCCTTGTAGACTCTAAAATGCAACTTTCTGCAGTTAATTAAGGTGAGATTATATTGCCATAATTAATATAGAAGTTTGTCCTTACCAGCAGTGTAAAAATTAGGATAATACAAGCAATAGAGCATTTATTATAAATTTTATAAATAATAAGTGATAAAAAC